TGCGTCCTGGAGGTGGTGAGGCAGCTAGTCCCCGCTGCCCACCGCTGCCGTGTGCCACGTGGGCCAGTGTGGCAGCACGGGCTGCGAGCATCTTGCTGTGACGTGTGCCAGTGCCATCGCTGCCACCTCCTACACCTTCCCTTTGCCAAAGGCAGAGCTGGAGAGCAGCAAAACCTGCTTGTCCCAAATCCCTGGGCTGAGCAGGCTCCCAGGGAAGCACGTCCTTCCTCCTCCTCCTCCTGCCGGGCTGCATGTGCTGGCTGTGGCGTGCCGCTCCCAGGTAGAGACGCGTTTTGGGATAAAACGTCCTCACCTGGCCCTGCCGGCAGGGAAGGGCTCTGGCAGGAAGGCTCAGGCAGACAGAGCCACTGCCCTGCACGCAGCACGTACAGCAGCTCGGTTGTGCAGGAAAAATGCTGCTCTGAGCTGCCATACATGCAGCGTTAGCCCAGCAAGGAAATACTGCCTGCCGTTAAATGTTGTCTGAAAAATGCATTTCACTGATAAGCTGTAGCACCGTGGAGCAGAAACTGCGGGAGCGGTGTGAATGCAGTGACCGGCCGGGCCTGGCCCTGGGTTCGGGCAGGAGGGGACAGGGATGGGCAAGTGGGCACCACGGAGGTGAAGCACCCTCTGCTCCAGCATCCGGGCTCTGCACCTGCCAGGGCTGGCTCTCGCCATCTGCCCTCAGGACCAGGCTGTATTTTCCCTGCAGGTTACCTTGTCGTTTTTGTCCCTGGGTGTCCTCAGAGCCACCCCAGTGTGCCTTTCCCATAGCCATGCCTGGGTCTGGGCAGTGTCCGGCAGCTCCTGCCCTGGTCCCCCGCTGCAACGAGTCTGTGTCTTTATCCTGTGCTTTGGGGAAGCCCTTGCTTCCTCGGGTCCCCCCATGTGCCAGAAGAGGGGCAAGATTTTAAAATAAGGTCCTTTTGTTTCCCAGGGCGGCAACAGTGGAAAGGTCCCATCAGTCCCACGGTCACCCTGTGTTTGCGATGGAAAATTCCCCATCGTGGCTGGGCGAGCCCTCCCCGGCGTCCCACCGTTAGATGGCAGCATGGACGGGCTGGTCCCGGCCACCACCGCCCGCACAGTGCCACATTTGGACTGCAATGGATGGAGGATGCCAAAAGCCCTCGATTTTTGGGGTGCCAGAGGATCCACACACACACCCCAGGTCAGACTCTCTGCTCTTCTCACACTCAGCCTCTCCCGGCAGCCCTTGGGTCTCGCGTTTTCTCCAGCATCTCAGCGGTGTGATGTGATTCATCCCTCCATCACTGTCCACACCTCACCGCCTCGCTGCTCATCTCTCAGGTGCACGATGACCCCTGATGCTCACAGTGGTCCCCAGCGTGGGTACGCTGCCATGGCGGGGAGCCCCGCGGCTGCCCCATCCCTGATCACGGCTCCCGGCACCGGGGAGGGGTCTGATCCCACCATCTCAGCTCTTCTCCCTGCGGCAGTGGGCAGCGCTGCCCCTCTGTGCGGTCCCCAGCTCTGCCTCATCACCCCATCATCATGGCAAGTTTTAAAAATCTCCCTCCAGAAACCTGCAGGGATTTGGGCACCCACCTGAGACGGAGGCACACCACCGCTTTCCGCTCCTTCGGGATGGAAGAGGGAGGTGGTCCAAGATGAGTGTGCTGAAAAGCAATGCAGCCGGCGCTCTCAGGGTTAAAAAGTCACTAACTGGGCCGGGGGGAGTTGGGTAAAATAACTTCTGTGGCTTGGAGTCCCTCTGACAGCTCCAGGAGAGGCACAGGGTGATTTCTTCCACGGGTTTGGCAATGAAAGCAGTTGAGCGCATGAGAAGTTTTCATGCCTTTTCGAAGCAATGAGCACATGGTTCTCATTCAGGCTCGCTCTTCACTGTCTGCAAGCGTGCATAATTAATAACCCCCCCGGGCGCAGCGTGGGGCCGTGCTTATTTATCCGTTCAGCACTTGCTGGGTGCGCAGGCAGCCGGCCGGGGCTGTGCCCGCCTTGCTGCCGTACTCCCGAAGCTCTGCCTTCGCCTCCATCTGCAGCGTGTTCACAGTTGGTTCGCACCGAGCCAGAGCCAGAGCCGCTGTCGCTGGCAGTGGCGGAGGG